GCTTTCTGATACATTGCAGTTCTTGGTGTTATTCTGGCACCTGATAGTAATTTCCCTAATTTTCAGAGAATCTGAAACGATTTAACTGGCAGCCTAACGTTACAATTTTTTTTTTACTGAATTTGGAGAATGACGAGTCATTCTAAAGTGACTGAAACCATCTGATAGCAGGTTGCCAATGTCATTATTTTATTTCTCAAAAAGGCTAGCAGGGTTTCTGCAGGTTTCATCAAATCAAATTTAAGACTTTTTAAGACCATTATGAATGACATTTCAGACTTATACACGGCTAAACACTAATGATTATTTCTAATGGAAATAATAATTATTAATTATAATTAGTAATTATTTCTTAGCGACATTCTTTAATGTGTCAAAACAAACTAGTTGTATATACTATTTTCTCTTTTTTAAAAATGATACGTTTAACATTGTTTAAAGTATAATTGTTGTGGAGGCAATTACGTTAATAATCAAAAATATATGTATTTAGCTTTTGGTTCAAATTGATTGAGTATACCGTCTATTCAATTTAATGCATTTCTGTTATAAAACCTTAAGTTTCGTGTCTATTTTTAAATATGATTTTTACTCACCCTTCTGTAAAAAGTTTTTGTATGAATGGTAGATAATGTAAAGGGACATGCTGCTTTGTCATTATCATAAGCAACTGTGTAAATATTTTAAGTTTTCTTGATTTTATTTAGATGAATTGTTGGTGAATGTATGGATGTCGGCCCGATTGGGTAGCTTTACTTGGACAATTAAGGAAAATTAAGACTGGTTTAAAATTATTTAAGACATACAACACTATATTTCAGTGAATATAAGACTTTTTAGGGCCTAAAATTTAGTTTTAAAATTTAACACATTTTAAGAATTTTTTAAGACCCCGCAGATAACCTGGACTAGTCGACCACTAAAGTCAAATCCACCATTGAAAACAATAGCGAGAAAATTCCCAATGGCCAGTCAGTTTAACACTGCAATTGGACCATGACATCATAGAATGGGTACAGAGGTTCTTTAAGGCTGAAAACCTTGAAATAAAGTTTTCTGTGTATTCATCACGCAATCAGCCAGCAAAATCTCCACTGCATATTTTGTTTAAATAGGACATTTGTAGTATAGTATTATTCAATTATTATGTGTTAACTCGTTTTTTTTTTTGTTTTTTTTACTTTTAGGTTGAGAGAAAGGGAAGAAAGGGGGAAAAGGAGAGTAGAAGACCTGCATACTATTGCTAAACTACAGGACAAGCTAAGCGAGAGAGACCAACTCATCAAAAATCTCGTGGTTAGACACACAAACACTCAAACCACAGGATGCTGACTCCTTTCTATATCATTAGCACAGTATTTCTCTATTTCAGGAAGACCTCCACCAGCTTTCCCAGCATCCACCTCTGTGCAGTGATGAAATACTGAAGCCTCATGAATCTAGGACACAAGCAGGAACCCTGACACCTAACATGAAGGTATGAACAGGGTTCCTACTTGAAGCCAAATATCAAATTCCCTGATGTTTACTGACTAAAGAGCTGCATTTCCATGGCATTTAATGGATACTTGACTGTTGTTTCTTATTGTTATATTTCATTATCAATATATATGTTAAATAATAACATTGTTAAAATTGAATCTTATTTTGTGATACTTTAATAGCCACAATGAGAACAACAATGGATAATTTACATCAGATACATTTTATTATTAAAAATAATAATTACATTTTAAAAAGGGCAGCACGGTGGCGCAGTGGGTAGCACTCTCACCTCACAGCAACAAGGTCGCTGGTTTAAGCTTTGGCTGGGTCAGTTGGCATTTCATTTCAGTGTGGTGTTTACATATTCTCCCCATGTTTGCGTGGGTTTCCTCCAGGTGCTCCGCTTTCCCCCACAAATCCAAAGACGTGCTTTAGGTGAATTGGGTTAGCTAAAATTGTCCATATCGATATGTGTGAATGGAAGTGTATGGGTGTTTCCAAGTGATTTGCAGCTGGAAGGGCATCCACTGCGTAAAACATATGCTGGATAAGTTGGCGGTTCATTTTGCTGTGGCATCCACAGATTAATAAAGGGACTAAGCCGAAAAGAAAATGATTGAATGGAAAAAAAAAATTCAATGAGTTTTATAAACTTTACATTAAGCTTTTAACTAAACTTTTTTAACAGGCAGTTTTCGAAGTGGTCATAAATATGGTATAGAAAAACCAAAACCAATTTTAATGGCAAAACCAACGTTTTAAGTGGCAATGGAAAATCCCCGACATTCCATGACTTGGATATTTAACTCTGTCTTTCAATGTCTGGAATAAACTAATTTCAAATTCCATATTACAGAAATTCCTTGACCCTTCTGAAACCCTTTATAAACACACACACTTCATCCAAGAGCTTATAACTTTACCAGCTGGTTATTGGCTTTAATTTAAAAATTGGCATTCATTAAAGAGTGCCTTTGCGTTCCACCAGTGCTGATATACAGCCATATCGCACTGCTACTCGTGTAATATTGCGTTTATACAACAGTTCGACGGCACAATCGTGCATATAAGAAAAAAAAAAATCGTTCAGAAAGAAAAACAAACGGGATGGATGTGGGAGATTGGTCTGAAATACAAGATACTCCCAGGAAAAACTAGAGTGTTGGCAGGTATGCTTACCAGTTTAATAATGATTTTACCAGCTGTTAAAAATCAGACTGTTATAATCTTCCTTAGCATAAGGGCTTATTATGCGGTTCTGTCGCCATCTTGCGAATAGAAAACATCAACCGTCTTTGGTCTACTCTATGGCAGGCTAATGGTCGCTGACGAGCTCTCACAGAAATTGTAAATATTTTAAAATAAGCACTATTCTTATAAATAAACTGCACAGTTGCAATCTAAACTACATTCTCGGCTAAAAAAAAAAGAAAAAAAAAAGCCTCAAAAGTACATTTTGTTTTTTTACAGCAGTAATATTTGTCAAACTGTCGCGTCTCTGCTTGTTGCTGGCTGTATGTGGGCGGAGTAATACACAGTGAAGGGTAAAGAGGCCTTTGTGTGATGTTACTGGCAAAATATTGCACGGCTATCAGCCAATCAGATCCAAAAACCAGACAGAACTGTTGTATAAATATATATATATATATATATATTATATATAAAATATATATATATATTGTACTTTCTCCAGTTTATTCAAAATATGTTAGCACTTTTTGTCTAAAGTCTTTGGCATCATGCTATTTTGTAATGTGAATCTCCTTTTCACAGAAAAAGACAGTTGAGGATGCTAGCATCCCAAACCTCTGCTCATATGATGGGGGGTCACCCAAGGCCAAATGCTCACCAGTTATGGAGCGTGTATTACCCAGTCTGGAACAGAGTGGGAGAGGGACCCCACTAACCAGGACACACACACCCACCTCCCCTCATGCTGAACACAGAGCCTCTGTCAGACACAGCCGTCCATCATCACAAGAGCTGCGACATCAGCCCCAGCTTAAAATCAACTACAACCAGCACATTAGGTAATCAGCAGCAGACCTAATCAGCTCGTTCTCAGAGTTCCTCAGAGGCACGAAGAGAAACACTGCTTTCTGAAATCCTGTTTTGAGTGTGCTCCAAACTGCCATTTAATTTTGCAAGTTTTCAAATTATTATTGGTTTAATAAAACAAAGCTTTGATAAAGCAAACCCTTGAATTGAATGAAAAGACATCAGACCCTTTATATTAAATGTTATCAGTTGCTAACTGGATTTAATATTACCAGATCACACTGTTGAATTATTAATGGAATTTGTTGGCACCATTTTTGTAGTCTTTTTCCTAACACTGTTGTTGAATTTAGTTTTTTTTCTGATTAGCACTTTTCACCAGTTTACTCACCTGTTTTTTTTTGTGTGCTTCTAAATGGTGAATCATATCACAAAAAAATCAGTACACGTTTTAAAACCTTTTAGATATTTCAAATACAAACAAGCTTTTATGAATTTGATGATTTTAAATATTTTTAAAAAGTCAACAACATAGATCAATTTGTAAAGTTAAAACGACTCACAATATAAGTCCAAGTTTAAAAAAAAAAAAAGTTGCACCAGGTTAAGAGATAAGTGCCTACTACACTCCAACCTGTGGTCTTATGAAGGTATTAAAATAAAAAGATGTTATTGTTTTGTTTTATCCCCTTGACAAATGTTTAACATGTAATAATCTTGTGCTTTAGGACTCCTGCTGAGCAGAGGGTTATTGAAACAGGGCCTGATGGACAAGACCCTCAAAAACAGGAGTGGTTCACCAAATATTTCTCATTCTGAGGTCCCACTGAACATTTCGACGACAGGCTCACCAAAGTCTCCTTTTTGTGCATAATAACTCTCAACTGCAAGCTAACACCAAATAAGCTTTTCTACAGGATGCATCTCATTTTAACTTGTTTGACAACAGCAGCAGCACACAGGCCCAATGTCTTAATGTTACAAAATCAAGAGATTATGCACTCAACCAATCATTAGAACAGTGAAGGACAACGATTGCAGAGAGGGTGAATGTCAAAGCGCTGAAAAAAAGAATGTTAATGTGCAGAGGCTTCCATTATTGATGTATCACTTGTGTTTTCTTCTTGCACATTATGCCTCCAGCACAAAGGCGATCATACAAGGTCTAAAAAAAAAAAAAAAAACTGAACAGTTCTCCTTCAAATCCAACATGGACATCTATTCATTTATAGAATGAACTGCCAAGTTTGGATTGCTGGAAATGTGGTGTGGAATGCTGAAACTTTTCCTAATTAAAAGAGAATGCAAGAATAGCTGGTTTTGCCGTACTATGCCAAAAGTGTTACTATGTCAAGATGATGTATCAATAAATTAATTTTTTTTAATTGCATGATTGCACATTTTCTTTATTTGTTTTTTTAATATATTTTGTACAAAATAGTAGAACATTCTATCTGTTCTGGATTAATCATTCTAAATATACAGGTCTATTTACTGTGGTAATTAAAACAGCCGTTTCACTGAAAGAAACTGCACTTCATAAGAGCTTCTGTAGCTGACGGATAATTCATTATCTCTGACTTAAAAGCATTGAGGGCACTCTTCAGTGTCCTCTGCTGGCTGGACTGGGTTTTGTTCCTGTAGTTCATGCTCAAAAGTTTATCAGCCAGATAGTGCAGCCACAGCACGTTGGAATGAGGATTATATGCCGACCAACAGTTTCTGAAACAGAGAGGAAAACTCATCATAAATGCAGAATTAAGAATGAAAGAATATTGAAAATATTTTAGTTTGAGGCTATAGCGCACACACTTGTTTTCTTTCTTCATAAGACGGTAGATTTCAAACTGATAATCTCCCTGACCCATAAACAACTCCTCATCGGAAGAGATGTCGCATGATACAGTCAGTCCATCTGAGGAGACAAAAAAGGGTTTGCAAACATTTTACCATTTATATCAAGTTCACAGCTTCTTCAACTCCATCACCTGAACTTAAACCATGTCTAAACAGTTTTTAAAAAAAAGTGTGATTTTGTTATAGTCATAACTTTTGGATAGCATTCATAACGGTTAATGATGTTTAACATAAATACAATAAGATTAATATATAAATGGACACAAAATGTAAAAGCATATTAAAAGTTTGTTTTGGCAAGTAGTTTTAAACTGAACAAGCTCCAAATAAAATCCCTGGTCAAATTCTGCTTAAAATGACATACATGGCTCATCTTTAAATTGCTTGATGGATATTAGGGCCTGTAGTGTAGTGTACCCTCACTGGCCACTTTATTACTAGTGCTGTTTTGGACCCCCTTTTGCCTTCAGAACTGCTTTAATCCTTCATGGCATATTATATTCAACAAGGTACTGGAAATATTCCTGAGATTTTGGTCCATATTGATATGATTGCATCACACAGTTGCTGCAGATTTGTCAGCTGCACATCCATGATGCAAATCTCCTATTCCACCACATCGCAAATGTGCTCTTTTGGATTGAGGATCTGGTGACTGCGGAGGCCATTTGAGTACAGTGTACTCATTGTCATGTTTAAGAAACCAGTCTGACATGATTCATGCTTAATGAAATGGCATGTTATCCTGCTTGAACTATCTGGATGGGTACACTGTGGTCATAAAGGGATGGACATGGTCAGCAACAGTACTCAGGAAGGCTGTGGCTTTGACACAATGCTCACTTGGTGCTAATGGGCCAAAAGTATGCCAAGAAAACACCCCCCACACCATTACACCACCACCACAAGCCTGAACAGTTGATGCAAAACACGATGGATCCATGGTTTCATGTTGTTGACACCAAATTCTGACCCTACCATCCAAATTAGACCAGGCAACCTTTTTTCAATCTTCTATTGTCCAATTTTGGTGAGCCTGTGCGAACTGTAGCCTCAGTTTCCTGTTCTTAGCTGACAGGAGTGGCACCCAGTGTGGTCTTCTGCTGCTGTAGCCCATTCACCTCAAGGTTGGATGTGTTGTACGTTCAGAGATGCTCTTCTGTATACCTCAGTTATAACAAGTGGTTATTTGAGTCACTGTTCCCTTTCTATCAGCTGGAACCATTTTTTCGGACCATTCTCTGTAAACCCTAGAAATGTTTGAGCGCAAAAATCCCAGTAAATCAGCAGTTTATGAATTACTCAGACCAGCCCATCTGGCACCAACAACTATGACACATTCAAAGTAACTTAAATCACCTTTCTTCCCCATTCTGATGCTCGGTTTGAACTGAGGCAGATTATCTTGACCATGTCCACACGCTTAAATTCATTGAGTTGCTGCTGTGTGATTGGCTGATATGAAATTTGCATTCAACTGCTCGTTTACAGGTGTAACCAATAAAGTGGCTGGTGAGTGTATATCCAGAATACATTTAATGCTGGAAAACAATATCTCCAATATTTAATAAGTGCTACATTTGGAATACTTTAAACATGAAACATAAATATTTGTGGCAAAAAAGTGAAACAAATAGAGTTGCATCTTTGACTGACCGATTTCCAGGCGTGAGAGCGAGTAGTCAATAATATTGACGTGAACTCCTCGTGTCTCAATGCAATGAACTGTTCCATTCAGAATGAATTCGTTGTGCTTGTGCTTGACGTTCTTCACCAGTATGTTCCCCCAATGAAGATCTCTGAAATGTCAGTACACACCATTTGCATCAGCTTATGTTTATGGCACAAACAGTAGAATTTGTATACATTTGATTCTTTTACTCCCGATCTTCAAAACTTACCTGTGTTCAAAGCAAAGCGCTTGCTCGGCTACAGCCAAGGATGCAGTGACTTGATGTAGCACACTTTTGGCCTGGGCCATAGAGGATAGCTGCAATAAAACTAAATGTCAGCTAGCCGGTCATTATATAAAAAAAGCATTTTCACCTTTTACATGCAAAGGTGAAAGTTTTCACAACAGCACCCACATGCTCAACTATTTGCCTTTTTACACCCTGGTAAAGCACAACAACCATTTATATAACGCAGTTATGTGTATATAAACAATTTCCATCAGTGTCTTTAGGACCATAGATAGAGCAGCTGAAAAGATATTTAAAAGAACCAGTGAACAAACTGAAGGGTTGCAAGGAGTTTGGCAGACCTGTTATTGCATAACTTTTTAGTTGTGAGATAATAATAATAATAATAATTCCTTACATTTATATAGCGCTTTTCTGGGCACTCAAAGCGCTTTACACAGAGGGGGGAATCTCCTCATCCACCACCAGTGTGCAGCATCCACCTGGATGACGCGACGGCAGCCATTTTGCGCCAGACCGCACACCACACACCAGCTGATTGGTGGAGAGGAGACAGTGATGCAGCCAATTGAATATGGGGATGGTTAGGAGGCCATGATGGACAGAGGCCAGTGGGCAGATTTGGCCAGGATGCCGGGGTTAAACCCCTACTCTTTTCGAAGGACATCCTGGGATTTTTAACGACCACAGAGAGTCGGGACCTCGGTTTAACGTCTCATCCGAAAGACGGCGCTCACTGAGCAGTATAGCGTCCCCATCACTATACTGGGGCATTAGGACCCACACAGACCGCAGGTTGGCGCCCCCTGCTGGCCTCACTAACACCACTTCCGGCAGCAACCTAGCTTTCCCATGTGGTCTCCCATCCAGGTACTGACCGGGCGCAGCCCTGCTTAGCTTCAGTGGGCGACCATGTGAGAGTTGCAGAGAGCTAGCTGCCGGCTGAGATCCAAGTTTAATTCTTTAAGTTAATTCAAAATGACCTTGCTTAACAAGCAATATGTCTAGATCAGTGGGACCCCCCGAGGGGTTGCAGGACAATGAAGGGAGGGCCGACTGGTGATTTTCAAAAATCTATTTTTATTAAACCATAAGAATTACTTTATTTCATCCATAACCAACTGAAGAGAAAAAAAATAGTCACTTATAGTTACTATAGTAGCGTATAGTTACTAGTTCTATTGGATTGCGACCCCTGGGTTAATTACATTACATTAAAGACCCATTGTAAATGGCCCATTTACAGCACTTAAAAAATTAAATGTAGAATAGACTTGGGTCTATTGGTGTTTGTGCGCCAAGGTTTCTGTATTTTTAACCACCTCAGAGGATATTGGGGGTCGTGAGTCAATGGCATTGTTATTTTAGGGGTCGTGGGCTGAAAAGTTTGGGAACCCCTGGTCTAGATGATGTAATCTAAAAGGCACAAAATAACAGTGTCCACACCTTTTCAGAGCCGTTGCTTCATAGCAGCTGCTAGTAATGCAGACAGTACTGTTTTAACAACAAAAGACTATTTGTGCTGACGCAAGCAGCAAGTAAATCTGCCCCAAAGTGTCTAAAAAGGGGATCATCAAGTGCAACTTCAAGCTGTTGTGTGTCTTTAGACAATTTGGATTAAACTACAGGATATATGGATATCCTTTATACATGTCCTTAAATTTTTGGCAGAATGAAATTGCAATGGAAAAAAGAAAACAAGTTTTGTTAAAGTATCTTAATGTATTTCAAGATGATTGGAAGTCTTATGGCTTTAGAGCAACAAGAGCATAGAGCCTTGTTTACACTAGGTATAAAGATACATTTTGGTCAGTCGGAATGAAAGTAGAGAAGGGAAGTAGAAGAAATATTAAGGAACCTCCTTAGTTATCTAAGTCCTTAGCAGCCATTTCACCTTAATACATTTAAAGGACCCAGAAAGCTCCACTAAGTCAACTTGAACTCAGAATATATACAATTAAAAAAATAAAGCAATTATAAAACTGTTCGAAAACAAACTCCATAATTATTTGTGCAAATGAGAGATTGATAGGTTACAGCAACTTTGAAGTGTATTTGTTTTTGTGTGTGAATTCTTCCATTCTATGTTGAGATTGGTTTATGTTTTTTGGTTTTCTGTGATGTTTTTAGCAAAATAAATGAAAACAACTGGGGTTTTGAAGTTTGTTATTTTCTGCTTATGGGAGATGATGAGATGCTGGGACCTTAACAACTACAGCAGCACTCATTGCCATAAGACTACAGTGAAATGTTTGGTAAAACATTTTAAAAACACAATTTCATGCAACTGGGCCTTGGACACACTGATCCCATGGTCGATTGTTGGGCAGCTTTAGCCATCAATAAGCATCTGTCAGGCTAGTTTGTTTGGTGTGTTCCATACACAACCTGCGGCATTTTGTTGCATTTCTCAATTATTTGCACATGATCTGGATTATCAAATAATCAGACATATTTGCAGATTATTGGAGTAATTGAGAAGTACTGTTAAAAATGGTACATAAATGCTGCTTTGTATATGGTGTGTGTATGTAACCAGTTCCAAATTCCTGTTGTGGAATGACAATACAGACTACTGCATTGAAAACAGGGTTCTCACACATTTTTCACAGCAAGTTAAATGTAATGATTTTTACATAAATATCCTGTTAAAGTCAAAATTCTTAACACTTATATTATATGTTTTTCAATTCACAGTATTTGCTATATTTGTCTTCTAAAAATGCCTTTTTTAGTTTGGTTGGAATAAGAGCATTTTTAATAATATTAATTTAAAAATATATATATATTTAAATATTGTTAGCACCTTTGAGAAACATTTTACAGCGGTCTACAGAACAAGCCCCTGTTGTCAAATGACTTCCCTAATAACCTAACTTGCCTAGTTCACCTTGTTAAACCTTTAAATTGATCTTTAGATGGAATACTAGCATCTTGCAAAACAAGTAGAAATAAATAGTATGTACTCTTACCATGGTAAAAAAAATAAATAAATAAATAAATTAGTTATAAAAACTATTATGCTTAATATGTTGAAAAAAATCTCTTCTTTGTTAAACAACCAATTTCAAAAGAAAAGTTAATAATGGTTACTTCAACTGTACACATTTGTAGTAACCCAAAAAAACTTTGATGGCACATTTTTTCCAAGTCCAACATTGAATTACTGACATTTTCTGTCAATTATTACTAAACTATTATGTAAGCAACACAACAGTTTCAAGCAATTTATCCAAAATCCATCCTCACGCAGACACATAATAAACATTCTTATTTGAAGCAACTGTCATACAATTGCCGTGTTGTTCACTTGCAGCTTTTTGGTGCAGATGTGAGTCATGTATTTATTGACTAATGTTTATTATATATCTATTTACTTTATGTGTTCATGAAGAGAGGGTTGTCTAGAAACGTGTTGTTTTTGGGATTTTGTTTGAGTTTGTAAAACTAGTTTGAGAGCTCAAATACAGTGCATGTATAGCATATTAAATGCTACAGCAATGTACTTTAACCCTACTTAGGTGCACCAATTTTATTTTGAGACTTCTGCACAAGGGAATTAAAGGAAAATAGCAAAAGTCACATTGTTATTTTTAGTGACATGGTGGCTCAACATGCCGAACCAGTGATTTCCGTTTTTATAACATACAGCTTTATGAATGTTTTATTTAATGTGCACAGTCTTTGTGTTTTTAATAATTTTATTTTATTCAAGGATGCAGCTAAGTCTGTGATCGATTCATTTGAGTGGTCAATATAGTATATGCAGAAGGACTTTTAATTTTCAGTAACCCAGTTAAAGCGCTTCTGGTTGACTATATGCATTTAAATAAAAAAAAAAACGCAGCGTTTAACATCCATTTTCTTTCAAAATTAACAATCCTTACTGCCTGATGGATATAGGATATAAAGTAGGTCTTAGACAGAAAAAAACACTGCATTAAATTCAATTTTTTCACACGATGTCTTCAAAACATACCTATTTTATTCAAGTATTTTCAATGGGAGTTTCTGCGCTTGCCTGCTGATTCTGACGGTGTGTGCAGCTTTTCATCTCACTTTACACTCGAACAACTAAATGAATGCTTCAGTCTATTTAACTGATTATGTTTAATTACATTACAAAATCGATGCTGTAAAAGGAACCCTATCAATTTGAAAAAAAGAGTCACATTAAACGTTACTGAAAAAAAAAATGAAAAAAAAACAATAGCTGTGCATATGCCCTATATTATTGTTTTATATAATAAAACAAATTTTATATAAAAAAAAGAATATATACATGTTAACATTTTAAAACAGAATAACGTTTTAAATACACACGGCCCCGTTTACACAATAGGTCGGAGTTTTAAAATGGCACTTTAGAATGAAAACAATCCATGTCCACACTGTCGTTTCACCAAGCTTTTCTGAAAACCCCTTCTTCCACACTATAACGCTGAAAACGCACACCACTGGACCACACACACACACGCTCTGTCATGCACCGCAGTGTAGGCTATGCTCGCGTCTGACTCTTAGATCCAGCAGAGCACTTCGGACAGTTTATTAGGGATGTACCGCTGGATTGCGTCTCTCTATAGTTGTTAAGCTAGACATTTAATTAATCCCGTCTCTATCTAACGACTCTTGTTGTTTTTAATCTATCAGGTAATGAGTCATAGCGTCAGTACACTGCTTCTATCTTTCGCTTTATTGCTTGTACTTAGTAATTTTAGCGAAAACCTTAGATACTGTTGATTGGTTGGTTGCTGTTGGTTGTGCCCCTTTTTTTAGGAACCGAGTTTGTTGACACCATTATAACAACACAGATCACTTTATTCATGCAAGAATTCTGCGAAAAAAGTGATTGACAGGTGGTTATTTGTGTGTAACCAATTTTTTTACTTTATTTATTTATGATTTGGTTATAGGTAAAACAAAATCCATACATTCATACGTTATGAATTTATTAATTATTCATAAATAATTAATTCACCGCTGGCTACGACGATAATGCCAACGTCCATCGTGATGTTTCAAACTAGAAATCGTACGATGTCGAATTGGTCGAAATCGCTCAACCCTAGTTAGAAATAAAATATCCATTTAGAATTTTATTATCTAGATTAAGTGATCTGGTCATTTTAATAAAACTTTTATTTATTTGTCAGTATTAAATTGAAAGTTTAGAATTTACATGCGCACACATGACCTCACTCGTAGGCTCAGCCTTAATCCCTCTTCCTCTGTCTGTCACTGCTGATTCAATTGGAACTAGAGCGAAAAAAACTGATGAAAATGCAGTCATATGTTGTGCTATATAAAGAGCAAAACTAATTTTAACTTGCCTAGAACTTAGCATGATCATGGAATAAGCAACGGCATGACGTGCATTGAAGGATTTTAAATGCACTTTGCGGAGGCCTCCACTAATGCGTCAGTTGGTTATTCACCTCCACTTCGTGCAATTAAATTCTTCAAACATGCCAAACTGATTATCCATTACATAATGAAGCGTTTATAAAACAAAAACTATCTGCACACGTACCTTGCCATTCATGTTTTCCAGATCACTTCCTCCAAATTCGAACTCCAGGATTAAAAATAGCTGTTCGTCATCAAAGAAATCTGTACAAACATTAACGGACAGTAAATATCAAGACAGAATTGCATAACCTTTTTTGTTAATAATTTTACTTACCAGGTCGATCATTCTCTGACCCTTTCTGATGGTCAAACTTGTCCCATGCTTTAAGCAGAGCTTCAGGATAACACCCACGGACACAATGTAGGCTAAAAGGTAAATTGACAGCTCACCCATAAAGAAAAATGAAACTTTCTTTGAAAAATGTTGGTAGTTATGTGTGCATTCTTAACACTACATAACATTTTCATACTTTCAAGCACCTAACTTTTCAATTGAGTTAGCCAAACAGAGGAATGAATAAATAAGACATACTTGTTAAGTCCAATGAAACCATCCGACTTGTTAAACTCCTTCAGGTTAAGGCTGCTCAGCTCTCTGTAAGAACATTTTAGATGATTTTGAAAATTGACACAACATCATATTGTAAAATTTGTTTGCTTATCAATGCCTGATGTCCTACTTGGAAATGATGATTTCATGAAGGATTTCCCCAAATGTTTTCTGATGTTCACCATTGACCTGCTGACTGCCTTCTACTGGGATGATCTACAGAAATTATATTTATGTGAATCTGTGTATGCTTTCAAATCAGTGTCCAGACTTTGGTTTACATCTAAAGAGAGGTTCACAATTCAAGTTTGTATTCATCCTGTGATGTGACAGACACAAGTTACTATGCTTCACAATGACATTGTATATTACTACTAAATTGTACACTTACTTTGAGAGCAACACTCTCATTGGAATCATTTATAGTTGAGAAGACCTCTCCAAATGTCCCTTCACCAATTTTATTGAGGTGCTTCATGCGAGCAGGAGGGATGCAGTCGCTAAACGAAAGTGGGCCGCTCTGCTGACATTCCTGATATACCTTTTCTGCATCACTGATATCCTCTTGAAATGTAGTCTGGATCAGACAAAGAAAAATTGTTAGCTGAATTTGACCTGGACTTGTACATAACCGTTTATTAGTGACAAAGAGAGAATGCAAAACTCTCGAGTCCTTACCATGGGGGTGTTCATAGTGGACTGGAGCATCTGTGAACTTTTCATTCTGGATGGTGTGCAGAAAGGCGAAGCAAAAAGGTCTAGACTGTTGTCTGCTGGAAATCCAATGCCAGGGGACTTCAGGTGAGACTGAGCAAAGCGCCGTGGGGTGGGAAATGCTGTAAAAACATAAATACATACATTTTGGAGCAATTTACATACATGCTTAAAGGTGATTGGTATTCAAAAATTTCTATTAAGAGGCAAAAGGTGATTGTGTTCAGAAACATTTTTTGTCGTGCTGGTTGAAAGTCTCTTAACATATGTATTACAATATGAATATGATTTCACAAGATGACCCTATTTGTGAAGAATTTACTAAGTGCAGCTCAGTATTGCAATACTGAACACAATTTCTCTCAGATATACTTTGAAATTGAACTTTAGAGCTGCCTTGATGCAAACCTACAAATATCTGCCACTCAACATGTACTTTTATTAATGTTAAAAAAAGGTTTAATAAGTATTAATTAGATTCTAAATGCTTCTAAATGGCACTATTTAAATATTTCTGTCATGTTGCATCTGGAGCGGACAGACAAATTGCTTATCACTGCAAATCTTGATATGTTGCATGTTGTTAAGACACAATGTTACAATGCAAGCTACTCTGCTAATGTTTATGTTTGCAATAATTATATTATTTGCCAATTAAAACTCATTTCGGAGGCTGCTGCTATCTCATGGTCACCTGCATACACTGATGCAGCCTTCAAGACTGAGGCCCCATTTACACTAATAGGTTTTAGTTTTAAACGGCGTTTTAGAATGAAAAGGATCTGCGTCCACACTGGCATTTCCCCCAGCATTTCAACAATGGATGGAAACAACTTTCCATCCACACTGTAACGCGCAAAAACACACAACACGTGACCACGAACATACTCTGGCATGCACTGCAGCGATGAGAGCTGTTTACATCGGACTGTTCATCAAAGATCGAATCTCACTATATTTGTTAAATGTGATATTTAATTTATCTTGTTGTCTATATCTAACTACATATTCCCCAACTTTTGTCTTTTGAATCTATTACTTGTTCTCAGGTAATTTGTTTTGGCTGAGCGCAAAGATAAGTTAGGTCAATAAATCAATTAATTTAACCGCAGACACAGATTCTGCATATTGACTGATTGCTTGCATTTATTTCCTATAATGTGTAAACTTACTGTATGGTATACTTTTACAATGGCCACTGTTGATAATTAAAACTGATATTCTGCAAGAGAATATGTTTCATATTTTCAATGAAAATTAAAGGAGGCGGTAATGTTATAGGCCCTGTTTTGTTATAAATACGCATAAAGTGAAGATGATGGTCATATAAATATGTAGCTACACAACGCCTCAACATTTCTGGTGTGTGTTAAGTTGCTAATATTAAAATGTAAAGAGGCAGTTCTTTATATCACGTTTTTATTGTATTGTTAAGAAAGTGAAACAACATAGCCAGGGTGATGTGAATGAGGTTACAAACTACATCGTTCCCTTTGAAGATTTATCCAACGTTTCTCCAGGAGTTTGTTTTCCATATTTAACTTGCGAAGTCTAAACTTACAAGAGGATGCAAGACTGAACTTTGTTTAGGCTACTTAATATTGAGGAAAAAGCCCCATTCAGACAGGCAAATGCCTCTTTTCAGATGTCTCCATTTTCCCCCATCCAAACTGACATGGAGCAGCAGCATTTTAAAATGGAAACAGCCTCTTCAGCAATTTGAAAAAGCTCAGTTTTCGGCACTCAAAAACTCTGGTGTTGTGTGAATGGATACGCTTAACTGCAGCAAAATTATTAGTATTAGTGTAAAAAAGGCCTGAAATGAAATTCGTTGTTTTCCAACAAGGCAACTCGGGGTGCTAAAATATAATTGGGTAATCTGGCAATGGGCGAGTTATAAAGACTAAAAGACAGACATGGAATGCGCATTTTCAAAGGAGAGTTGTATTCTCTAGAATTAGTATGACTTTAGCATTGTTTTTCAAATAAACAAGTATGTTTACTTAGCATATTTCCTAAATATCTGCAAGCATATTATGGTTAGATGAGTCAAAAACTTACGTACAACACCTTTAAAGCATACACTTTTTATATGGTAACAGAACAGACCAAATATTGTCTATAACGTCTCTTCGAAATTTGGTTAGTTTTGTGCATCAATAAAAGATTTGTTCATCTCTGCTGAGTGCTAACAAATTTCTTATTAATAACATACCAGTTTTTTTCTTATGCAGGGAAAGTGCCGCCTTTAGTCTGCCCCAGGAGTGTGTTGTGAGATTGTCAGGAGTGAAGTTGGCCAGAAAAGAAGAGAGATTCATTTGCTCAAGTCTGAGAGGTGTCACAGCCAGACTCAACCCACTGGTGCCCTGCACCATGCCACATGCGGATTCCTGCATGAATTCACAGACACCACATTTCAGTTACAATCAATTTCTTTTACAGAACAATATTTTTTTCACAAGTGGCCACAGCACAGCCGATTTTCTGTAATGGAGTTACTCTCAATCTTTCTACTATATCAATAAGCTTTTGCTTGGTTGCCAGATGTTGGTCTGGAATAGAACTTATATTATTTCTTTAATTTAAACGTTTTGTGTGACAAATTGTATGCACTTCATGTATTTTTTGTTAAAAGATTCTTATTTTTAGTAACAAATTTTTTACATTTTCTAAAATCATTTACATCTTAATCTTGATACATATTTTGTTGGTGAATTATGTTTAATAGTCAGGAAGATCTAAATGAAGTGCTATTCTAACAAAATCCATTACCATGCTTCCACTGGCAGATCAAAAAGCCGGAACATTGGCCCTTAGCACATGTAACTAAACATGTTGTGGCACAATAAAAATAAACTATAAAATAGATTACTTCCTGTTTTACAAATATATATAAACAACCAGGTTATAAATTAGATAAAACATTTGCAATTACTTAAAAAAAGGTGTAAATATTGCAGAAATATAGTAACCAACCTTTACAAAGGTGTCTGCTCCAGTAGACAACATACTGCCCCATGAACTGTAGTCTCCTGAAGCAGCCTTTGTTCGGCCTTCCCTTTTCCTTCTTTTGTCTTGGAATTCTCCAGCACCCTTCTTAGACCACCGGCTAACATTCAGTCCACTCACACAAACTTTACGACCCGTGCCAGTACCAGCTCGTTCTTTAGTCACAACAGGCGGTCGGTTTTTGCTATTAGCTACAGAGGCAGGTGGAGAGACCGTAGGTGGTTGAAGTGGTAGAAACAAGTGTTGGGCAACCGCTTTCAAATTACCAGGAGTCCTGTGATTAATTGGACTATCTAGCATAACATGCTCTGCCTTCTTTAAAGTTGGGGAAGTGGCAGAGTCCTTGTGGCAGATGTATGAATTATCAGTGCAGGGTGCTTTTGTCACTCCATGTGGAATAAAAGAATACACGCCCAAGTCAAGACGAGGAATGCAGACAGCAAGGGATGATAACAGACATTCAGCCTTAAGACGTTCAATAAGAGACTGGTTTGCTTCTGGTAAATGGGAAGGGGAGAGTGATTTAGAGGAAGAGAAATAGATGGATGCTTTCGATGGTGTAGAGCAGCTGGATGATACAGTTACATAAGTTTGGCTGCTCAGAATTTCTGCCGGCATGATCGACTCCAAAGAGTTTAAGGCAGTCCTCTCTTCCTGTTTCTTGCTGCAGCCCAGCAGTGATGAATAATCTGAGATGTTAATTTTTTTGAGCCTTACAGCCGTCTCCACTTTGTGACACCTATATAAAATCAAAATAGACAAAAATTAACAGGAAGCCATTAATATAAAAACCAAAATTGACCATTTATAAACACACACACACACACACACACTACCTGTCAGTTTATACATACCTTGGTATTCTATAATGTTACAGCATTCCACATTCAAAAATAATTATAAGATCATCAAAATGTTTAAACAGGGTTCCCAGTCTTGCAATGGGTTATATATGCACATGGACTTTTAAATTCCTGTCAGCAAGCCCAAGTGCAATCGATGAACTGTCTTTCCATTACTAAATTCTACCAATATACTACATAAAGGGAGTCTGGACAGGCACTGCACTAATTCCATTTCCCCCCCGCTATGTCTTTAAAATATGAAAATTTGTGCATTTAGTCCATTTCATTGCCACAAATTTCATTTGTACACGAAGGACAATGTTTGAATTAATTATGTGCCATCTGCATTGTTTTATAATAAATAACATTGTATTTGCATATAGAAAGTGTTTATCTGGTGTGTGTTACCCTGATTTGTCATACACGGCACAGCAGTGTGTGACTTACTTTAGACATGGTTTGTGACATTATCATAATGCCCATTCAGCAAAAGCCTATTTGAACAAGGTTATGTTCCTTGTATTAGAAATGAACATGATATGTCTAATGCTGTTGCAAAATTTTTTTACAGTTTTGTTGTTTTGACCATTAAGAGTCATTCATGTATCAAATATGAGGCTCTTTATTTCAGTTTCCTATTCCAAATGTTTATTGAGGTCAAAAAGTAATTAAAAAAAAAATCAAGATGTGTATATTTTCACAACAAAACAAAAGGCCAAATTATTACTGTAAATTTAGACAATTCACAACCAAATCAGACACTTTATGTTGCTGATATTCCATGACTTAAACTAAAAAAATAAATCTACATATAAAATCCCTGACTTTCGATGACTAGAATGGCTTTTTAAAATTCCATAATCCTGAAATTCCATGACTCTTGGGAACCCTGTTAAATGTCAGTAACAAAGTATTTATTTTCCTTTAAAAGCAGTCACTTCCCTTTAAAATCATCATAAACTTATGCTACCAAATAGCTGAAAAATAGGGTAACATGCTCTGTCTCTATAGAAATAATGAAATAGAAAAATGCTGCGAACGCCTCAGCTATTAAGTTCTTCATGTCCAAGTAGTAACTAACTTTTTAAATGAGATTTACATTTTTTAATATTTGGCAATGAGTGTTTTTGCTCTCAGCTACAATTTGTTTAAGGCTAACAGTTGTAAAAGCTGCCGCATTAGGTTTTTTTTTATCACAGTCTTGAAAAAAAAATTAAATTGTAAACAATAGATTAAGCCTATGTTTTTTTTGCTGATGTATGGTATTTCTAAATGGCATTTAACACACCCACACTCATAGTTGAAATCAGAAGTATTAGCAGTGGTCTTGTATATCTATATACGTACCACGTATTTGCTATAACTCGTTTCAGAGAATTATTTTATAGGTTTGTAAAACCAGTTTTTTCACCCATTTGGTTTTTTAAATAATAAACCTTTACTTGCCTCTCTTTTAACTCTTCTTCTAAAGATTGTAGTTGTGACTGTGGTGACACACAACCAAAACCTGTGTGTGTCTGAGCAGACATGGCCTCTGAGAATCCTCTTTTATGCTGAACCATCTCTCTGTAATCATCTTTCCTTTTCTCAGTTACATCCTTTTCTCCCTCTTTCAGTTCTATGACTCTCTCAGAACAGACACCTGGGTTTTGGAGCTGTTGCTTAGTGTTTGCCTGTGGAATGATATCGCATTCTTTGACATAGTCCAAACCATTAGAATTGTTGTTGTTTTCGGCAGGTTGTCCAGATTCATCAAAGCTGAGGGAGGAGATCTCACTGATGGAGGGCTCTGGTAGGTTTTTCAGCTGTCTGCAGACTACAGAAGGGGTGCTGGACAGAAGGGGACATTTACTTGGGAGATGCTGGTCATCGCTGTCATTAAAAGATACCTCAGCCAGAGGCACACGGTTCTGTAAGCATTTGCGAGCAGCATGTTTATTTGAGTCATAGTTTTTCATGCACACAGTCTTCCTGCGCTTGTTTTGGAAGGATGATGGGAGGAAATCATCAGATGAATTTAATGTGTGGTGAAGAACAGCCTAGAACAAAGGAAAATATTTCAATGAAAATCGTCCAGTATTTTCTATTCTAGTATCAATGCTCCAATCAGAATTTTTGCAGATGATACTGGTTAAAATAATTAGCCCATTTTAATTTTGATCAATTGGGTTAAATACAAGTTACACCTTTTTTCCAGATAAAGTGAAACTATAAGTTTTAAAACAAGGCTGTTTTCCCATATAGTTGTTATGTGTGGAAAATAATGCACATCACTTTACAGCAACAGAGAAGACAGTAGCATAATTACTTACAATTTGCTTGGTTTGGATGGGTGGCAGTGGTCTTCTGCGACTTGTGACAAACTTGCCCAAATAAGGAGGATGTAAAACTTTCTTGTCATTACTAAATTGACAAAACATCAGTTTATGAATTTACATAACAGAAATGGTTTACAGATTTATTATTTGTACTGCATTAGAGGACTTACCCAGCACATTCATTAGCAGCAGTTTTGGAACTAACATGGTTTATCATAATGGAGTCGTCATCATTTTCACTGCTGCTGAGATTTAATTGTGTACTTTTTTTTGTCCTCTTTGTGGTTCGAGGCTTTCTCATGGCTGTAGTCTTTACTGAGGGTTTTGCATGTATTTTCTTTCTATAATAACACAGACAAATGGGCAAACACTGAAGGTAAATATAACATGAGTAATAACGGCTTTTAGAGTTTAAAGCACAAGTGTCAAACTCAGTTCCTGGAGGGCCGCAGCTTACCACAGTTTAGTTCCAAACATAATTAAACACACCCAAGTAAACTGATTGAGCGCGTTAGGCTTGTTGATACCTACAGATAAGTGTATTGAAGCAGGGCTGGAACTTAACTCCACAGGGCTGAGACCCTCCAGGAATTGAGTTTGATACCCCTGATTCAAAGGGCTTCAAGGAAAGTGCTAAATATCTGTTCTGAAGTGTTTTAATATATGTTATATTATTTCAATACAGTCCTGACCTGGAAGGTAAGGATGGTGAATAGTTTTCTTCATCACTTTTATTTTCCTTTATGGCAGCCATCACTTTGGTCTTAGCAGTGCGGGAGGAAGTTTCTTTTATTTTTCTTGGAACAAAGAAATGGATGTGTAAATCTGATATAGTGAATTATAACCACCTGCTTTTCAACAGTCAAAAGCTTTTTCTAGCAAAAAAATATATATATAATAAAGTAAATGATATATATATATATATATATATATATTCATATATAATGTTTTAATTAGTACATTTTACCTTTTCTTGGGCTTTGGGGTCTCTTGTATCGACTGATCTGATGAAAAAGTGCTTGAAAAAGAGAAAGCCGCTTTTCTTAGGTCAGGGGAGATCCAAGGCTCCAACTTTCGCATTCGTTTACTGTATGTCTTGATAAATACCGGCCCGTTTTTTCCTCTTGCGTTCATCTTGGACGTTTACTACAAAGATCAAAATAAAAATAATCGTTTATTAAATGAAACTCATCGGTGGACATGGGTTTGACAATTTAGTTCAATAGGAAAAATGGAATAGATGTGTGGTAAAAATGGAAAAAAGTCCCTAGGAAAGGCTAAACTACTAAATGAAAAAAGTAAACATTGTAACTCGCTAAATTGTAAGAAGTACGAATGTAATGTTAATTGCTCTGCTAATCTGCAATTGAGACACAAAGGTTTTCCGTTCTTAACAGCTCCCTGATAATGTTTTGTTAAACTGCAATAACATAATTAAAATTGCTGCCTGAAAAAAAAAAACACTTCTGACATTTATCGTCTTTTGACTATATCAAGATATTAATCTTTAGAGATCGAGATCTATATTCTCTTCACATTAATGTTACATAGCGTTAGCTGAAAATAATTATTTACTGACAAAAGTTAACGTTAAGAGAATTTCCAAACCCTAAAGAATTGTCAAGTAAAAAAAACTCCTTTAGTTTGTATAGCAAGACTAAAAAACTAACGCTAAGCTATAATAATACACTAAAAACCAACACAAGTAAGGAATAAAGAGAACATAGTGAAAAACAGTGGAATTTCGCAGTTTTCAAATGTACACATCTTTAATATAATGCCCTAACGTTACATTAGAAACGTTTTGTAACTTAGTTGGTAAAAACAGCACTGTAGCTAAGGTTAGTCTAAACGTTCAGTTACCGTCAATTATTCAGATAATTAAAAAAATAAAAGCGTTATGTTTAATGTTAACAGTTTACCTTGCGATCGTGTTTTCGACATGCAGATCCCTTCCAGAGATTATTTAAATAACGTTATAACTTCTGTAAAAGCAACACAATATTAAACCGCTTCACGTTCAAACTGAGAGGAGTCGCTGATTGGGTTCTTTTGTTCTTCTTCTTCTGATGTTTGTTTTGGCGGAATGGTAATCCAACGCACAACGTGCGTTATCGCCACCTTGTGATCTGGAGCAAAGAAATTACACTTGCTCACTAGAAGTCGTACACAGACCCTGAGCATGCGTCAATAGTGCCGCCACGTTTGTACAGTGCTCCCAGCACAAGTGTCATTGTAGTAACGAGGAAACAAAAAAAACAAAAAAAACACAAAAGCAGAACATTTTATGGGTAAGATTGTTTTTTTTTTTTTTTTTGTACGTTTTTGTATGATATAAACTTAACATGTAACGTTAATACAGCCACTTACTGCATTCGCCATAAGGCAAAGTAACTGTTAACTCGCACTAAATACTCAGCTCATGCTAGTTTTGTTGAATAAAATCAGCAAACAATGTGAATGAATTAAATATGTCAACAAGATGCTGCGGTACCAGTACTTGTATTATTATTATTGGCTAAGTGAACGAGTATCCCTCCGTTATATATCCGGTATAGCTCCCTCCGTGATAATGAGAAGTGAAAGCAGGAGAGTTTCAGAACACGGGTTAGATCAAATCAAACAGTGGGAGGATAATACGTTCCCATACACACAAACACATGCTTTTTGTCAGCAATGCGGTCACATGCATCGATGAGAGAAGTGATGTAAAATTATCATTTTCATAATCTAAATAGATATTATCATACTAAGCAGCGGCAAAACTCCCGATCATAGATATGTGTGTATATCTCTGGCTCTGGATAGCCAAAGTCCACCACTGCACCTTGGTCCATTCATGTCAAAGAAGCGCTACCCTGTACTAAATCGGCGGCTTCATTGACGTATTCCTTCCAATAGACAACAACAGGGTAAGCGACATCTAATGTAAATACCTATGACACTTGCTTGGTATTCTTTTGTCTGGAATAAGGAGTCAGTGTTTATGATCAGTGCGCATAATTGTGATTAACTACAGTTTATGAAAGAGAGAGAGAGAGAGAGAGAGATTAAATTAGTGACAATTATATATTTATCAAATAAATAAATACACTACATATAAATAAAACACCTTTAATGTATATTATTTTCATATGTCCTATCTTTTAAAATATTTAATCAATTTCTATATTTTTCTGTTGCATTTGTCCACTCCTTCATGATTTAGAGGAATTATTTCATATTTTTATGCATTGCATTATAGAAACTTTGTGCAACATAAAGGGCACATATTTATGTCCATCTGACATAGTTTTGGCTCAAACTATAACAGGAGCCAAGAATGTAATTGGTTTAAATCTGAATAATGTCTAATGAAAGTCAAATGTCAAACTAACAGTACTCAATACTTATTACAGTACTCAACACGCCTTCGCTGATGGGATATTACCAATTAAATGTAACATTTCCACCAGAGGATGAAGCTTTCAAAAAGTACTATCAGCACTGAAAATCATGAAAACCACGACTGAGCACCAATATTAAACTCACCAATTTAGAATGATATTTGAAGGATCACCTGACATTAAAGTTTGAAGTATGAACCCTGGAAAATATTTTGGGATAAAAGAGTTTTTTTTTTTTTTTCAAATTAAAGCAATGTTTCATAATATAGATGATTTTTCACACCTGTCCAAATACCACAGGTGTGATACCTGCACTTAACTGACCTTTAACCTTACCACTCAACTGCCGCCATTCCATTCCATGAAAGATTTCAGAATTGTACATGGAAGAACAGGTGCTTCTTTGTTTTTAATATATTGCAATAAACAACCTCGTCAGTCGTCACCGCAGCAATGCTTGTTCTCCATATGTGTACAGAAAGAATATCATTTTTTATTGATTTGTTTGCAAAAAAAAAAAAAAAACTTGTTTAACCCAGTCAACAATCGTGTGGTGTTTTACTAGCAGATGTTGGATCTCCCTGATGAACACTAAGCTAAACTTTCTTAACGCCAACTAAAAGCTTTACATTCTGACCCAGATAGTACATTGGTTCTACAGCACTAATGTTTGTTCATCATTTCTATATTAATGTATTGAGCATTTTCTTTTTTTATTTCTGTATGGCAATGCTGGTGTGAAGCCCTTACAAAAATAACTGCAGTAAACTGAAGTAAAACTGCAGTATAACAGCAGTATAGAAGTATAACTGCAATAAATTTAAGTATAATTGCAAAATTGCAATACAATGAAGCATAAACACAGTTCAAATACAGTACAATAAAGTTCAACAGCAGTATAAGCTGCAGTAAACTGGAGTTAAAACAAGTAAACTCCGTCTTTACTGCACCTGTGCAGTATGCCAATGTATAATATGCCAATGGTGTGGTAAGAACTGTACTGCACTTGTGTTCCAAAGGGTTTGTTCTTCAACATCTTTCAAGAATATTTTGTACTTTTTCACAGATGTTTTTTGGATTAAAGTAATTTTTTAATTAGAATTTTAAGAGTTTATTTGCAAAAACGAAAAATAAAAAATAACTGTAGTGAACTGAACAGTAAAACAGCTGTAACCTATATATTTTTATTTGATTTATTTATTTTCGAACAAAAATATCATATATAAAAAATACATAAAATTTCTTCTTTTACTTGTCTCTTCTTTGTACATGATACATGTTTTATCCTTTTGGCATCTTTGATAAATTATATGTTTGATTCCATTTTTTACCTTTACATTTTGTAACATAGACCCAAAGGAAAGAAAAAATACATGGAACTGCAAATATAAAAAAAAAAAAAAAAACATAGTACTGCAAATAGCCATTAATTAAAATTTCATAATACCTTTCTTTTTTTATCCTTTTTCAATCACCTTCATCATTATATTACTTTAATAATATATATTTATACCGTTTTTTTTATTTGAATATTATCCTGACATTGTTTGAGAGTCTGATCTAGACTGTTCCATAGTTTCACACCACAAACAGACATACACAAACTTTTTAAAGTTGTTCTTGTTTTCAACCCGGGAGATTTGAAAACTGCAGCCCCGCCCACTAACACAGAAAAAAAGGCTTAGGGTGCTTTCACACCTACACTTTTGTTTCGGAACGTATCTCGTTTGCCCAGTTAGCACGGTTCGATTGGCATATGTGAACAGGGCAATCGCGCTCTGTTCCGCGCCAAAGTAATCGCTCCGAGATCGCTTGAATAAGGTGGTCTCGGCTCGATTGAAACGAACCCTGGAGCGGTTCGATTGCAGTGAGAAACCGATCCGATCCGAGCGCGGTTATATCACAGTGTTTTATGCATATGTAATAGGCTTACGGCTATATGAAGAGAGAGTTATGAGTAGGATGGGAAGTTTCGCGAGTCTCCGGATGCCCGCAAACGAGTGATGATCTCCCGGTAATCTTGCGTCTCCCTCCCTCAAATAGGCATCGTCGCGCACACTTCTCACCCCTCCCCACCACGTCTCTCCTCAGACATGTCGCGCGCGCACCCTGTCAATCACCACCAAACCACCACCTCTCCTGACAGCTGAGCGGGACGCTGCAAAATAAACCCTGACACTCTGATCAATGTAAGGAGAGTTTACTCGCACTTGCTGGAAATTATTGAAAGTCTACCCAAAGATGAAACTGTGAAGAGTCTGTGGTTGAGGTTTATTTTGCAAAAATACCTCAGCATTATAGCCCAGCCTTGTGCAGTGCCTCGGAAAACTACATGCTTACATAGAATTCATTGGCCGTTTGTTAAAGGAAGGATCAGAAAAGACCACTGATGTAACTTGAGGGACTATGTCAGAACATGGATCAGTGCATCATGGACCAGTTTCTTCCTCCACTTCACAAGTGTAAGTACGTGCGATTAAAATTGTTGCCTCGTTTACTCTAGCTTGCAAATGATGTATTTAGTTGTGTTTTGTCACTTGTAACCGCGTGTACTGTATCAGGTTAACTCTTTATATTCTCATATCGCGTGTAAAGCCACGTTGAAAATGCGATGCATGCCGTTTTGTTTACAGGTCGTCAGCTGTTTCTACACACGTGCAACGGTCAAGTTTCAAAATAGTTCAGCTCAGGTTTGAGGTGAGGTGTCTGAATTACATCCAGGGCCGGAGCAAGCTGAACTGGCGCTCTAGGCGAACTACAATCACGTCGCCCTCAACCCGAAAGTGCATTCTATGTATTCTGTTTTTGAATGTTTCTGTTAAGGACTTTTGTTTTGGTGTTGTGTCCTCTGAGGAGGAGGGTAATGTGCGTGTGTGTGAAAAAAGAGCAGGTAGAGTGTGAGGGGCTAGTATAAATCTCCTCAGTTCTTCTGAGGAGGAAGGTAGTGTGTGTGCGCGTGCATGCATGCGTGTGTGCGTGCGTGCGTGTGTGTGTGTGTGTGAAAAAAGAGCAGGTAGAGTCTTACGGGCTAGGAGACTCTTGTTGATCTCCTCCCCAGTTCTTGGAGTTTTCGCTCAATAAAAATAGTTAGTCGTTGGTATTTTCAAGTCCATCATCTGTATTTACATTCACCCACTTGCAGCCAAAATCCACACCAAACTCTATAAAGCGTATGTACATTGTGACTACTTTTATATTGTTGATTAGCTGCTGGGCATTTCACTCTGTCTTGCGCTGAAGGCTGTCAGTGTCAACCAATCGGAGCAGACTGTCATCGGTCCAATCAGCGCAACTTAGCTTAGCGCTAAGGAGGTGTTTGGGAACAACTGAATCACTGAACGATTCATATGGCAGTCGCTGGGATAATTAGGTAAAAATAAATGCATATTATTAGACCATGAAAGTGTTTTTTGACCTTGCATGCATATTAGACTGTTGTTGGAGACCCTTACAACCAGAATGTGACCCTATTTCATGCATAATAGGGGCTCTTTAAACATAAATTGTGCTGTTTTAAATTTAACCAAATCATTGAACTTAAATATTTTTAATAAAAAAATAAAGGATTTGTATGCTCCAGATACCGCACATGTTCTATTAGTCTAATTACTTTTTTTCTGCATTCTGCAGATGGATCGTGAATTAGATTTATATAT